AGAGAGAGAGAGAGAGAGAGAGAGAGACTTCCTCTGACGTTCGTATTGTTTTGCATGTATCAATTTCGTCAAGGGGGCACATATCTATATATCATCTCTCTCTCTCTCTCTCTCTCTCTCTCTCTCTCTCTCCGTCTTTCTCTCGCTCATTCCAGACAATGTAACGAAACTTATTTTTTGCCCACTGACTCTATAAATTGCACATTACGACAATGTCATTCGAGACAGTGTCATTCCAGACAATGTAATTCCAGACAATGTCATTCCAGTCAATGTAATTCCAAACAATGTAACGAAACTCGTTTTCTGCTTAATGATTCTGCAAATTGCACATTACGACAATGTCATTCTAGAACCAAAAGCAACTTCGGAAATACGGAATGCCGCTTTGAACAAAATGGAACTCGAAAAATGCAACTCCAAAAATAAATTATGTATAATGACTCTGCAAATTGCACGTGACTATAATGTCATTCCCCGACCAAATGCCGCTCTCACTCCCGCACAACAGACTATCGGCCGCTATCACTTCCGCACAACAGACACCTCCTGCGATAGCACAACACCGTCAAAGTCGAGGCGCTGAGCGGCACCTTCGCATTCGGAATCCGATGGTGACTTCTCATCATCCGAGTCATCGTCGCTCGTAGACTCGAACAAAATATTGGCACCTTGACCTTCGTCACCCCAGGCTACGCTCTCACCAGCAATCGACAGTCTCATATGAGCATCAACATCAACATGCTCAACAACCGGGTCGTCGGCGTCCGATTGATGCAACATGTTACGAGTCCAGTCACCGACCCGAGGACTCCCAAAATCTTCAGTTGCAATGTCGAATCGCCACGATGTGTCGCGACCGGGGTAAATGTGACGTCTTGCGGAGCGTCGTCGATGGGTGCTGTTCGTGGGTTTGCGGGATGTAGTGTGCGATGGCCTGATTCGTTTGTTCTTGTTCCATTCCAGTGCCGTGCAACAAACCCGCGCCTCATACGACTTTGGGAAGTTCAATCGTTTCGTGCAGTACTTGTTGATCACAGAGTGGAAGCATTCGTTGTTGAACGTCATTCTCGCACGTGTGTAGTATGCCATCTTCGTGTTGGAAGCGAACTGCTGCAAACATCGAGAAACGGCGGCATGAACCCGACCCCCAGCCTCGTACAATGGCTCTCTCTCTGAACCGCCAGCCGCCTTGCACAGGTTCAACAACTCTTTGCCACACATCGAGTGATTCCCAGCCCAATGATCGGCCAGGTGTTGCACATGTGAGGCCAACACATCGCCGTCGTCATCCTGCGCCCGTTCGCGCATCCGGCAAGCACCGTACAACCATTCCTTCGCCTCATCCGCCACATTGCAATGCAAGCCCTCCAACGCGTCGATCTCGACAACGTCATCTTCCAACGGCTTCCCTGCTTCGTTGGGAAACAACACACCCCACACTATCTCCACAAGCTCGTCCTTCTTTTTCGTGGCAGCCCCAGGCACGCGCACACCCCTCGTCTCGAGCCACACTTCGAACTCCTTCTTTGTGAAACACCTCACCTCGCGAACGTGCTCGCAAGCGCCCACCACAGATGGCTTGACAGTCTTCGTGGCACGCACTGCCTCTCGCAAGCGTTTCACCAAAGTCTTGGCTTTGTGCCACATACACTTCTGCGAGTCAATGTTCATTCGTCGCAGGATGACGTCAACCGCACCACAGTCGTTATGCACAACCTCAACGATTATGAGGTTATGTTCGTCCTTCAATCGATGAAGGAGCTTCTCCACGCACTGCGTTTCCAGCCTCCACGACGACTCGCCCCCCCTCAGCATCGTCTCCGTACCCACGATCATCCCAGACTTCAAGTCCAGCGCCGTCACCATACAATGTTGTATGTCACGGGACGAGTCGTAACGGCCGTCGACCAATACGATAACCGGATAGTTAGATCTGCGCAAACGTGCGATGACCTTATTGAAGCTCCTTTGTGTAACTCGTTCCACGTGTCGCAGCCACTGTCTTGAACCTTTGCCTTCATCACGCAAAAAAATTGTGGAATGTTTATTTCCTGACCTTCTTCATTCCGAGGCCCATCAAGAGGTTGTTCAGTTGGGTGTGCGTCATCCCCGCAGCCACAGTGGAGTGGAACAACTGTGTCTCCACACTCGAATCTCTCACACGACCTTTGACAACCTTCGCGGAATTCCAGTGCCAAGTGCACCCTTTCCCGCACGCGAATTGCAACTTGCAAATGTGACAAGGATAGGATATCTTCTCTATCGTCACCTCCACCTCTTTCCCGTGTTGAGGACACGTTTTCTCGAACATGCCGAGAATCTGCAAAAGTTTCACAGGTTCAAGAAACACGACATCAGGTCTCGCAGGTGCATCCCACATGGCCATGTGGTCCCTCACCGTCAACCTTTCAAACATTGGATTATTGTCTGCAAATCCGTCTTTGTCGTCGCGGCATCTCAAAGCATTACTGCGAGGTCGACCACCTCGCAACCGCGGAGTGCCAGTCGACGCCGACCCCCCCCCCGAACAACCTCCTCGGCCAGACAACTACTCGCTCGGGCCGTACATCGCCATGAGGTCATCGACACGGCTAGCACTCCACTCGAGGAATTGATCGAACACGTTTTCATAAGAACAATGTTTTTTTCTATTGTCTCCCGAGCTACGAGCAAGGGACGACAACTTCTTGCCCATCGCCCTTGCGATCGAACTCAAGCGCAACTGCTGATCACGTCTATATCGCACCCAATGATTGTTGCCCGACGGAGGTGTACTAGACCTGACCCTGTGCGACGCAGGCGAGAAACTCATCCCGACTTCACTATCGTTATACGGCGAAACCCCATCGGGTGCATGATCCGTGGAGACGGGAGTGCAGGACGGTGGCCGCAGTCTGTCATTGAAAGGTTGCACCTCTTCTGGCTCATGAAGGGGGGTGGACGCAATGACACCCAACCCGGGAACTCCACCGGCGCTGTCAGGGGGCGAGCACCGCAACAACGGTGGCCGAGGAAATGTGGACGAAGGCACACACGACGCGCCATGGAAAGCGGCATGCGAGGGGTCTGGACTACCGTGACAAACCCCATCAATAGAAGTACATCCGGAAATTGGGGTCGGCAACACCCTAGCGAGCAGCCCAAGAGGTGACGAAAGAGGAGGGCGCATTGGAATTATAGCGGATTGCGCAAAAGGAGACTTCATCGGATCCCCGGAGAACGTTGGCATAGGAGAAATTGCAGCAATGAGATTGCACAGATGACTCGGGAAAGGAGTATGCGTGACGGTTGTCGAACTCGCGACAGGAGGAAATGGGACGACCGACATCCTTTCGTCCAAACGCTGCCTGGTCGCTGGTCTCGCCAGTACAACATCGCTTCTACTACGTCCGTGCGGATCCAAACGCCCTCGCCCACGACCGCGTGAAATGTCATGGTACAACGGAGAGCCTGCCAGGGTGATGCATGCGGCAGACGGCAATGCGAACGCCACAGGCGTCGGAAGCAACGGGGAACTCGGCGACGTCGGCGCACCCGCAGGAGAGTGTTGGCGTTCCATGTTCAACCACACAGCGGTGACTGCGCGACGCGGGAAACCCCCAATGCACCTGCACATGCAGAGCCACAGTCTCGCAGAACACAACCTTTGTTCGGGAATGCGGAACGAAGAAAAGTACTACAAAGCATGATAGATTTCGGTGCCGTAATTCATCCGTGCGTCCAAGCATTATTGTCAATCTCCTTATAAGTTTATGTATTCGTATTTATCCTTTCGTTTGTTTCCGCATGCATGGAATAGTACCACGTGATTGTCCCCGTGA